TATCAAGATGTGAGAGTATAGATATACCTTCAATCATCCGAAGCATATACAAACTCTACTTTAAGTAGAGACGATTCTCTACTGTCCTTTTCATATACAAGGCTTTAAGCTTGTCCCACATGCTCTTAGCCGTAGTCTCCGTAGCTACCTCCCGTAAAACCTCATTAGAGAGATTTAGAATAATGTTGGATCGGGCCTTCTTATCCATACCTGCAAAATCTTCCTTTGACGTACCATCTGGAATATTCTCAGCCCCTTGTATAGTGTCAAATCAACTCCATCTTGAATCAGAATGGTCTTCATCTTGAGTTGCCACATGCCGAAGTTGACATTTCTATCGAATTTCTCGACAACAATCTTTGTTATTGTCATTGTTGCCAAAAGATCCCGAAACCAAGCTCTGATACCAGTTGTTAGAGCTAGCCTTAGGAAATTTACCAAAGGATAATTTTGGCAACCCAACAAAGACAATAAAGTGAAAAGATAAAAGCGACAAGAACATCATATTTACGTGGTTCGGTCAATTAACCTTGACCTACATCCACAAACGAAAGAGGAGTAAATCACTACTATAAAAGAGACTATTACAAATGCCATAGGAAGATGTTACTAGGTCATAAAACATCAAAAATTATTGAACAAGAAAAGCCTAAAGCAAACAATTAGGTTTTCTTATGATGCATTTGACTTCAAAGTTTAGACCCTTATTTATAGTTCAAATAGGAGATAACAAACTTGATTTTTCCGATACGAGACAATGACACTTGCAAAGAGGACAGAGGGAAGGAGCCGAATTGCACAAGTTGGTCAGCAGAGTACAGCAAGCAAAAGCTTCTGCTACCCAGCTTTTCAACTTCTTGGTTTCCTTGTTCCTCTCACCTGCCGTGGTTGAAGGGAGGGAGAAAGGAATACTTGCCCGGAGATCTCTTGGCTGGCACGCGAACACGCGGAGAGAGATGCAAGCCGCAAATTTCGGTTTCCGAGGCAAGACTCCGATCCCTGAGCCGAATCTCTGGATATCAATTCGAAGGACGGTTTTGTTCATGAACAGTTTCGTTCATTATTGTCCGTCGAAGAAACAGAGAGATGAAAGGCGATCAAGGTTAATATATATTCACGTTGCAGTGTATACCTTTGTCATATCATGGATGACCAAGGTTAATACTGTGATCACTGCGATGCTGCAGTACATGCACCTTCGATGCATGTCCAATTGCAACCGTCCACCTCTATTTAGTACCTCTCCGAATGCGGGTGGCCCAAAGCTTTAATCCGCAATTTGACACGCACTGTTATTGTCTCCCCATCTTTTGACTTCTTCTGGCTCGTAAGCCACGAAAGAGACGGGTTTCTGTCGTTCATGAGACCATTAATGCATGCTTGTGAGATACAAGATGGGAAGAGGCTCTGTGTTTTCTTTTGTTTTACTATTTTCCTACTCCCATTTCAATTGCAATAGAATGGCAAAATCGTATATGATTATTTATCATCATGCCTACTACTTGGTGCGCTTTATGACTTCGACGTGGCAACATGGTTTTCTTTTGTTATGAATCAAGATCATGCATTAATCATATTGTAATGTGTTTCCACTTCATGATATGTTACATGTAGCATAATATTTCTCTTCTAATTTATACTTTTCAAATTACAAAATTAGGCTTACTGATTTTTTTTACCATTTTTGACTCATGATAGCATGGGTGTACGGGGAACATGTTTCTTACAAAATTAGTGGAGTATTTAAATTATGTTCAAAAAAATATTGAATTACCTAAAGAAAATTAATGAAGAATATACAATACTATTACTTGTTGTACGTTGTGGATTATTAAAGATATAATAACTCCAAAACAAGTGGCAGAATCTTGATATCTTATGCTAGTATATATAGTAGGAAAAAATTCAAATATTATGATGAGACGTTAGTCGATCCATGGATGCACACGATTTTTACTATAGGTGTATCTCAGTACGACAATTCAAGAATAAAAGTCAGGTATTTGACACTTAATGCTACATACGCAATGCAAGTATATAAAATGTTATTGTCAGAAGACAACAGGAAAAATAAAGAAGAAAATAGTGATTATTCTCTTGCGATAGATGATGTTTGAGAAACCTTCACAGACTCTAAAAGTATTGATGTGGTTCATTATATGCTAGATTAACTAGTAAATTAAATTTGGATGGTTATTCAAAAGCGGAGATTATGAGTGTTATAAATTAAGAATCAAGATAACTGATAGAGCAGTACTTGGAGAATATGATTTGTGTTTCAAAGATATAGAAGAATCTAATTTATTTTTAGTCTTTTAAATTTCTATAACATAACTAGAAAGCTAATGCATGGGATGATAACGAAGAAAACAAGATATATGCTTTTCGATTCTAAGAAATAGATGGTTGTGAATTAAAAAAAAAATTCAATTGGTGATGGGACTTAGTTTAATTACATATAGGGTATTAATTTCTATTAAAATCAAGTATTAGATTATGAATTAATTCATGTGTAGCTATAATGTATTTTTGAAATCAATTATTTATTGATTGTTTTAAAGGGATGACATAAAATGGGTAAAAGTATTCATCAAAATAGAGATTATTAAAATTGATCTTTTTTAAAAAATTCTATTGTGAATTAAGTTGTTTGCACAACTATGTTAATTGGAAGATAAAAAATCAAAGTACATAAATAAGCTTTTGGTATTAGTGATCCATTTGCTTTATGGTGTCCTACCTAAATGATGGATTTATATCATGACACCCACATGCATATATATATATATATATATATATATATATATATATATATATATATATATATATATATATATATATATATATGGAGGACCATTAAGTTGAGGAACATATTGTGTATAATAAAGGTACCTTTCAGGGTTTTAATGAGCTGTTCTTGTGTCCCATTAATAGGTCATGGATGCACCCCCCCTAATTTTAGGTCAAAATTAGGTCACCTTGGTATCGCACGAGACTTTTACTTTGTGTTCTTCTTCTTCTTAAAAAATCCACGCATATCTTTGCAAATCCCTTGCTACTTTCGTCCTTCCTCACATGGCCTTTTCTTTATTGCTTCCAGGTCGATGAAGTGCAGGCGGACGAAACGGTCACTGTACTGTTGCAATGAATGTACCCATCCGAAAGGAAAACCAACGATCTGTAGTGCAACCATTGGATATGTATTTGAGATAATAACATGAGGAAAATAACATTGAGAAGGTGACATTGACATGTAGCTACAAAAACTGTTCATTGATTCCACCCGAAGTAGCACCATTATTCAAGTTTGTGTCAATTATTCATGCTCATTTTGCAGCAGATTCTTTTTTTATATTTTTATCACACAATAATCGTGAATTCTGTCCAGAGCTTGACTCTAAATTTGTATTATCGATTCTCACTTGGGATTCATAATCAACCCAATAGTAATCATACTGTAAAAAGTTATACCATCATAATGATGATGATAAAGAAGAAGAAAGAGACTATGACTCTAATTATATATTTTTTAGTTTAATCTTAATCCTTATTTTCGGACCTTGCTATTTTAGGACTAATATTGATGTTGGTGCGGCATATCGAATCATATTGCAGGTTTAAATCCTAATCAGGCGACAAGTCTTCTGTGGATGGATGGTGTTATAATTGCACTTGCTTTTCTTTCCCACTCTCTTTGTTTGACTTGTCTAATGTGCATGTCTTTACGTGCCTTTTCGTATCTCACGACTCCAAATTTCTGCACTTCTTGTACTATGTAGCTACTACCACCTTACCGTCAATGCACTCTGATGACGTTCGTAATGTTGTCATAGTTCCATCAGTACGATGTCACACATCGTCAAGTGAGGAAATGTGACGGTCACGATGCAGATTCCACCTGCCTGTCAAACATTCCACTCAGTATTATATATCTTAAAATAAGAAAAACCTAATGATAAAAAAGAAATTCTCTGAAAATACTCTTTTTTTTTTGTTTTTTCTTCCATATATCATCTTTTAATGTTTTCCAAATAATATTTTTTATTAAAAATTTTAAAATATGTTTAATGGGATAAGTAAAGTAAGTAGATTATATCTTATGAATCGATCCACAAGGTGAATCAATTATCATATTATGATTCAATCCCTCATGTATAAGTTATATTTAAAAGTATTATAAGTGAAGATTCAAGCTCTAATAAAAATTAACTCATACATAAAAATAATACGATTTCAAATAGATATTTTTATTATTTTAATGTGCATGCTTCAGGTTCCGTAGTCAAGTTGATGCAAATATTTATGTGCATGCTTCAGGTTCCGTAGTCAAGTTGACGCCTTGTCTTGTTTTCTCCTTAAAGACCCTTCGTTGGGCAGCTCTTCAGGTTGGAGCTGCCATCCTCCATTTATTAGCTCTCCCTAACACGCACTGTGGCACAGACCACTAGTAACTCTCCATTTATGTGGTCTTTCCCTTGTCGTGTTCCAAACCACTCGATGTGTGACCAGGTAATTTGGTTTTCGTATTATTTGCGCCACCATATACTGTTTTTTCCCTCGAAAGTAACAAAGCAAGCAAAATGACTCCAGAAAAACATGTTTGATGGCGAACATAAAACAATGAATAATATGTTGTGCAGTAACCACGAGAGGAGGATGCTAAACCAGGAACCATAGTGCTATGAACAACAAGGACAACATTGACACTCCTACCTATTCATTGTTCTTTCCACATTATAGATTGACAACTGCTTTAGGTTTTCTACTATCTTTTCTGTCCACAGAATTATGTTTTCATCCATCTTCTGAGTCATATGTATAACCAAATGCTCATCCCTTGCAAGCTACTTCCTGAGTGTACTCCATTAGCTTTCATTTTCCCTGAAGATCGAGGAGAACCTGCACATACTTACATGACCGACACTGGTGCTCAGTTGACCTGAAGAAAGATCCGTAAGGGCTCAATGGCCTGCTGTCATTAGGGAAGAGCATGCCGCCAGCTATAATAATCCCATCACTCTTTGAAGTGATTGCTTTATCATTCCTGGGGAGGCAACACTGGTGCTTCTAAACTGTAGTGGAGACCAAAAGCAAATCAGTAACTAGAAAACACAGCAGGAAGCAATCCACTAATGAGGCTGTTGGATGCATCCAAACCTTGGATTTTATTGCCAGGGAAAGCATGCCATCGACAGTGGAAGATTGCACCGAGAGCAGATCCAAATGGAGGTTGCTTATGGATTCCACTATCTCGAACACCAAGCTTTCCCTCCATGGACAGTGCATCTCTACCAAAACCTCTTTGTCCTTCAAGGTGACGTTTACCTCGATTGGTCTATCCTTGGTCAAGATCCAGAGGTGCTCGGCATTTGATCTATCGACGTCAGATACTTTCCGCTTCTTTGCTAAAGAATTCTCGCCATTTACGATCTCTTTATTTCTGTAATTTTCAGATGATCGCTTTGCTACATCAGGATGCTTCCTGCTCTCCGCAATCTCAAGCTCCGCTGGCTCCTGGCTGGATTCCAACTCCAGCACTCTTCTCTCAAGATCTTTCAGATAATCTATGGTGTTACCAAGGACGGATGCCTTGTCGACCTGATGACAAAAAGATAATTACAACAAATTAAATTCTATAAACAAAGGTGATAGGTCAAAGATATATTTTCCCAAATAAGAGGCAAAACATTTCTAGCTTATCACCAAAATTTTGGATTCGGCAAAAATTGTCAGAAATTTCACATGAACAGAAATATATTGAGAAAACCATCTGATACCATTCTAGAAGTATATATTCCCTCAGGAACTAATTCTACTACCTTGCTGATAGACGGAATAAGTGATCTCAAAACAAGAAATTTCTCCTTCAACTTCTCTCTTCTCCTCCTCTCTGATAAGACATGACGTACATCGGACTCTCCCTCTGGCTTGCAAGTTTTTTCCTGCATCCCATTTTCTTGATGCCTCTGCAGGCGTCCGTCATGCAACCATGTTATATCCACTAGAAGTTTCTTTAACAGCTTCTGAGACATGCTAGTGAATGGTTTTGGTGGGTTCATATCAATTCGCCAGGTTGCAAAACTGGATTTATGAGAAATCTTCGGGTAGCTTGAAACTGGTTTTACATGTTTTGAATTCTGTAAAATGACAGCAACAGTCTTTGCTGAGTGTGAATCATCACCATCAAGATCCAGTGGAACTATCCTGCTAAGGCTTCTCTGTTGAACACCGTCAAGAATCTGGTTGTTTTTTCTTCCTCCCTCAGTGCCAGAGATAACTCTCCGAGCATTAACGAAAGACATCGGTTCATGCACATCACAATCCAAATAGCCATGTAGGACATTGCTGAACTCGTCATCTATAAACTGCCTACTCTGAGTCTGAGATATGTCATTTAGCCCATCAACTCCAAATGCATCTTCTACCTTTTGCGTGGGGCAGCCATCATTTAAACTGCCATCTGAAGAACCTACAATTAGTTCTTCACGTATGCTTGTATGTAGCTCCTCGACCCTGCATCGGACTGGTTCTGTTTGTTCGATAGGGGCATACAAATGAAATGGAATGTGTTGTGGACCATTGCCCAATTGGGTTTGAGGATCAACGATCAGATTCTGGTCCTCCAAGTCGATACAGTCATCTATGTTATTATCAAGATTAGGGCATAAATGATCTTCGTCGTTCTCAGCCATTCGACGACCGGATATAGATTGCTCAGAGCAAATCGGATTTGGTAGCTCCCAGGGAGAACTTGTGATCTTCTCTATGATGGCAGGATCCTCCAAAATCTAAAGTCACATAAAATTAAAGGAGACATAGTTGTATGAGAAGTATAATAGTTCAGAATACCCTACTTGAAATCTTCATAAGAACAATAGAATAGAACTTACTAGATCATTTGTTCCGAGCTCTAGCACACCATCCATGATAGGGATGCACACCACAGTCTGCAAATAGACACCATGACAAATTATATTATAACTCGTCCAGACATATATTCACTTAAAGGTTGTCGAGAGAGACTGTCACGGTGTAATTGGTCAATTGAAACTAAGACCCTAACCATACCTGAATAGATGCACTCTAGATGATGTGTGACATGGTCCAAATTAAGCATTCCGCAAGTAACATATCAAAAATTAAAAAAGTAGCCAATTTTAGCTTCTTGTTCTAATTACATATTTAATTACAACATTAGAAAATCTAACTGGCTAGGTATACTACCTTTGCTAAAAGAGAGCGTGAAAACATCTTGCAATTTGCAAATTGAGCACCGTTCAACCAGATGTGTTGATTGTCCGCAAATGCTTTACCCGGCAATCTGAAGAATAATAGAAAATTAAGAGGTGTTAGAATTTAACTTATCAATGTGTCACAAAGAAGTTTATTATATCACGTATTAAAGGTGTATAGAAGAATAAATCAAATTAACTATTGATTCTTTTAAGAGTGTCTTGAAAAAAAGAGATTGGCATTAAATATAATGAATATAATCTGAAAAACAACATAAAACATTTAACTAAGATATGTTGGAATTAAGCTTATCAAGGCAGCATGAAGAAGTTTATTATATCAAGAGTTAAAACATAATAAGAGACCATAGAAGAATAAACCAAATTGATAACTATTAAAAGAGTCTCTTGAAAAATAAAAATTTATATTAAATATTATGAATGTAATGTATATATGAGGAATATATAAGCCCCATGTATTGAGTCATGAAACATAGAATGTTTTTAAGTGAAACATAGAATATTTTATCTTATCCTATTTTTTCTTTATATGATAGCTCTATCTATTCTCCTTACATAGTTCAACATTTGGTATCATAAGAACAACAAAAAACAAAGTTGTGTTAGAATTAAACTTATCAAGATACCACAAAGAATTTTATTACATTAAGAAAAGAATAAATCAAATTGACTATTGATTCTTGAAATAATTTTTTGGAAAAAAAATTATATTAAATGTAATGAATGATATGTATCTATCGGAACTATATAAACCCCATGTGTTAGCTCATGAGAGTTTTTGAATGAAACATAGAATATTTTATCTTGTCTTACTCTTTTTTTATATGATAGTTTTATCTCTTCTCTTTACATATTTCAACATTTGGTATCTGAATTCAGATTAAGCTATGGCCTTTTCATCAAGCACTATCCAACTTCATATCCCTATATTGACAAAAAAAATTATGATATATAGTGCATCCAAATGAAGGTCTTTCTATGCTCCCAAGATATATGAGAGCTTGTAGAAGATGGATTTGTTGAACTAAATCTAATAGAAAAAGGAATAATAAATACAGAAGCAAGAAAACAACTCAAAGATAAAGGGAAAACGAGAAAAAAGCTTTGTTCATAATTTACTAAGAGCTTGATGATATGATGTTCGAGAATATCACTCCAATAAATACTTCAAAAGAGGTTTTAGAAATGCTTCAAAAAGTATTTGATGATGCGGACAAGGTAAAAAAATTCATCTATAAGTTTTATGAGTTGAGTTTGAAAAAATACAACAATATACTTTTGAATTTATGTTTGTTTACTTCTCAAAATTTATTTCTATTATTTATCAAATGAGAATAAATGGTGAACAAATAAGTCATCAAAGAGTAATAAAAAAAAAACTAAGATCTCTAGATTGATTTTATTACTATAGCAATTGAAGAGTCTAAAGATTTAAAACAAATATTTTTAGAACAACTAATATGTTCTCTTTTAAGTTCATAAATAAAGGCTTACAAGAAGAGAAGAAAAGTCTATAGAGCAAACACTACTAACCAAGCTTACTCTTGAAAACAAAAGTGAATCAAAATCTCAAAAGAGAAATAGGTCATGGACAAAAAGGAAAAGATGGCAAAAAATAAACCAATTAAGAATCTCAAAACAATGAAGGTGATAAAAAAAATTCTAGCCAAAGAAACTAAGGTTATGGCCAAGGACATAACCGAGGTAGTGGACTTAGTAGAAATTCTAAATGGTCTGAGATATAATATTATGTTTGCAAAAGGTATATGTACTACTTCTTTAAATATTATTATAATATAAACAATCAAGGTAATAAGGAAAATTTTGTTGAAAAATAGAAAAACAAAAATCATATTTTGCTATTGATTTATGATAATTTGAAAGAATATCAGTTAATGACGTGGTATCTAGATAGCTTCAAATCACTTCTATGGCATCAAAGAACTATTTTCTAAAATAGATATAAGTTATTCTAGCAACATTGCATTTGGTGATCTGTCTCAAAAACTAGTAAAAGGCAAAGGTAAAATTTTTCTTAGACTTAATAATGATAAAGAATTATACTTTTCAAATGTTTATTATGTTCCTTATATGAAAAATAATATTTTAAGCTTAGGACAATTACTTGAAAAAGTTTATAATATTAAGATAAAAGATATGCTTCTTTCAATTTATAACAAGAATAAAATATTAATCTAACATGTGAAAATGAGAACATAATGTTTTATCTACATTTATGTATTTTTTATTAGTTAGATTATTTTAAAACTAATATTAAAGATAATTCTATATTATGAAATCTTAGATATGTTTACTTAAATTTTGAGACTTTAAAATTTTTAAAAAAGTATAATATAATAATATGATTACTAAGAATTGATCGTCCATCAAAATTATGTGAAGTATGTCTCATAAACAAGCAAAAAAGAAAGTCTTTTAAAATAACAAAACGAGCACGACAGACTTGATTTGATATGCTCAAATATTTATGGCCCTATTAATTCAATATCACTTCAATATCAATTGAAGGAAGCAGTGTTTTCTTATCTTCACTAATGATCGTAGTAGTAAAACTTGGGTTTATATGTTAAAGAAAAAGAAAAAAGTTTTAAGAAAATTCAAATAATTTAATAATTTGATTAAGAGACAAAGTAGCTATAAGATTAAATATTTAAGAATAAATAGGGGTGATGAATACATATCAAATAAATTTAAAAATTATATAGAAATAATAGAATTTTCCATTAATTCATCATGTTATATACATATCAATAAAATGGTGTTTTAGAAAAAAAAAAAAAAAAGACTATACTTAATATGGTTTGATGCATGTTAAAGGAAAGAAAAATTCCTAAAGAATTTTGAGAAGATACTATTGCTTATGTCGTTTATTTGGTTTCCGATAAGATAAATTAATAATGTTATACCAAAAGAAGTATGGAACTTATATAAACTAAGAATTGATCATTTAAGAATTTTTAAAAATATTATATTTGTCAAGATATCAAAAAAAATAAAATTTGAGGATAAAAATTAAAAATATATTTTGTTAAATTATACTGAAAATTTTAGTGGTTTCAAACTCTATAATATTATCACGACAAAATTATGATATAGGATTAAAGACTTAGTTCTTGAATCATATATACAAAGCCAACTTCTCACTCTAATGACATGTATATAAGATAAATTGCACTTGATAAAAAAAAAAAACTTGAAGTGAGTACGCAAAGATAAAATGACAGAGAAAGCTTTTAAGAAAAGAGAGTACCCTTGTCCTATATTGAATACGAAGGACATGCAAGTCAAGTAGTACCATTCTGCATCAGTCAAATCCTCTGGATACAATGCAGCACAAGCCCTTCTCATCTGCTGATTGCTATCACCCGATGAAAGTGATTCATACAATTCCCTCAGTTGCTCGCTCCTCTGAAGGCTCATTTGGTCAGCTTCAAGTTCTATTGGTTGAATCATCTTCCTTGTTTTTATTTGACCATTGTAAAATCCACCGCACCATTCCAAGACGCTGACAAAACAAATTAACACGAAATTTGGGCAAAAAGCTCAAATCACATGAAACAATCAATTGATAAAAAAGATTCACGAAGCAAAGACGAAAAGTAAATCTCACCAACCATATTATCTGGAGGATGGGACCAAAGAAAAGTCCTCTTTGCTCTACCATTCGGTAGAAAGTCTGCACATCCTATTTTATTTATATTTGATAAGATGAGACCTTTTATCTGTGTAGTGTTATCTTGGCATAGGCCTCCTAAATGGCATTCGCCTGTACAGCAGTCTAGGAAGAAAACAAGGTGAGGAATCTTATCTAATTGACTGCTCACTACCTTCCTTTCTATGACAACCTGCTCTCGTTCCATCATTGCACACATTTAATGTAGTCGCTAGATGATTTTATCTAGAGAGAGAAGTATTAGTCTGAGAGCCCAGTTTAGTCCATAATGAATTTTAATAGTCCTTTGTCTATTTTATTTTTAAGTTAATCTTAAATCAGAGGGGTGTGATGACTACTAAAATAGAGGGAAAATTTGTAACAACAAGGTAGAAAATTACAGCAGTATCTTGATTTAAAAAAAAGGATAAAAAAATAAGAAAAAGAAAGAAAAAAAAATAAGGATAATGCAGAGAGACTGTTCTCAATCATCTATACAATGTTCTCATCTCAAGTTATATCAGATCTATAGTAGATTCTTACTGTGATTACTTGGAGAGAATTTGGATATTGTGCATAGTGATGTTGTATCCCAGTTATTCTCTTGTGATTGTTGTTTAGGTTTTAGGCAAACGATTGAGATTTGTATATTCATTATTCTTATGGTGGATTATCTCTGGTTTGCCCCGTGGTTTTTACCATTCACATTAGAAGGGTTTTCCACGTAAATCTTGATATTCTATTTGATTGTGATTTCATTTAACTCCATTGCGTGTTACGACCTGCTTGTATTTGTTCGTATATAAAAATTTGTTTTTGTTTTTATATCCCATCAATTAGTATCAGAGTAGAGTTTTGGTGATTTAATTTTTATGTTTGAACATGGAGGCTGGTAATGTTTCTCTCATAATTAGCTTGAATGGAAACAATTTGATGATATGAAAATCAAGAATATAAAATCTCTTGTATTGCATAGACTTGTATGGACCTTTGCATGGGGATAGTACAAAGTCCGTAACTATGACAAATGATGAGTGGAACAGGTTAGCCGAAAAATAGTTGGGTTTATTCGACAGTGTCTTTCACCATGTTTTTACTGAAAGTTCTGCATGTTCTGTTTGGAAAAAGTTGGAAGGTCTCTATGAAAGAAAAATAGTTGACAATAAAGCTTTCTTGATCAGAAAACTTGTAAACTTGAAATATAAAGAGGGTACTTATATTGGTGAGCATTTGAATAAAATGCAGAGTATCACTAACTAGTTATCCTTTATGAAAATGTCTCTTGATAATAAGTTACAAGCATTGTTATTTCTAAATTCATTACCAGAAAGTTGGGAGACATTGGTGGTTTCCCTCAATAATTCTATACCAGATGGTGTTGTCATTGTGAATCAAGTAACAAATAATTTGTTGAATAAGGAGTTGAGAAAAAAGAACTCGGTAACATTTCATATTGATTTATAAGCATTTATCTTAGAGAATGGAGGAAGGTCCAAATCCAAGGATATAAACAGTTCATGCATGGGTAGAAGCAAGTCAAGATTAAGAAAAGATATTATTTGCTATAATTGTGGTGAGAAAGGATATTACAAGAACCAATACAAGAAATATAAGAAGAACAAGAAAAAAGAAAAAGAAGTGGAGTCTACAAAGTCAAAAGATAATAGTACAACTACTGTGTATGGTGGTGATTATTTGATTTTGTCTCCTTTTGATTATATTTTTTCTTGTGTGTGTCAGGATCTTGAGTAGGTGACTGACACAAATGCTTCTTATCATGCTACACCATAGAGGGAGTTTTTTTGCTACCTATAGGTTTGAAAATTTTGATGTTGTCAATATGGGTGACTATGGCTTGACAGACATCATTAGCATAGGTGATATCCATATAAAGACTAACCTGTAAGTTGGTACTTAAGGATATGAGGCATGTGGTTGACTTGAGGCTGAATTTAATTTTAATTGGAATGTTAGATGATGAAGACTATGATAATAGATTTCACATAGGACAATGGAAGTTCGGAGAGGGTTCTCTTGTTATAGCCGGTGAAAAAAATGTCATACCTTATATAAGTTGTAAGCCAAAGTTTGTGGTGAGCAATGAATGGTACAAAGAAAGACTTCAGCCATTCGCTCGCTAGAGAAATGCTCGGGAGCGCATGTCTCACAGTCATCCGTCCGTTGGGGGCGCGGGGTAATCGGCGCAGTTGAATGCTGCTAGTGCGGTGGCGCCGCGCCCAACGGCGGTGAAACTGCTCAACCGATTGCTGTCGGTGCGAGGGAATCTGCACTGCCTTTCAGTCCTCTGTCCTTCGCGGGCACGGGAGAACCTCCTCATCCGATTGCTGCTGGCACGGTGGTGAAGGTGAAGGTAAAAGGTATCTTGGGCGGACCTGCTTGCTGGCCATTCTAAGGATACCGTTCCGTTTCTTACTCATTTCTTTCGACGTTTGCTTTTGATCGCATCAAGATCTCCTCCAATGTTACATACGATGAGGAGACTATGAGGCAGTGGAGACAGCAGCCCTGGGTCTTCAACCTTGTGGGAAAGTTTCTCCTCCACTGCACATCTTGAGGGACTTTGTTTGCAAAACGTGGAAAGTCTTTTCTATGCCTCTTGTTTTGAATTTAGCCAATGACTTCTTTCTGTTTCGTTTTCAATCTGAAGTGGATGTGATTTCAGTGCTTACTTCTGATCCGTGATCTTTCCATGGACAACTCCTGCGTCTCTTTTCTTGTAGGCTGAATTTGAACTTCGTATTTGAAACGTTGAAAACCTCCCTTATTTGGATCCAACTCCATGGACTGCCCGTGGAGTATTGGAGTAGACAAGGGGTTTTGGGCATCATGAATGCACTGGGTCGTCCATTAAAGATTGACGAATGCTCTCTGAGGATGGAGCAGGACAGGTATGTGAGGGTATGTGTTAGGATGATCCCACCATCCCTCTGTTGTAGGGCGTGTAGACTGGGGACTAACAAACCAGTTTCTTCCAGCCTTAACTCACACGAGAACCTTCCTATGTGTGCTTTTGGTGTGGGCATGTCGAACGTCGTTTGAGCGAACGTTACTCTTCTTCTCGAGTGAGACATGTCGTAGGGGGAAGGTCAGATGTCCTTAAGGAAATCCCTCCTGCTCCCACGTGGAGTTCCCAGGGGCAGGGTCACGTCGAGTCCCATTTTTTAGGCTCCTGTGGCCTCCATCTAGCCCATTTTGACTCTCTTTACTCGTCCTTCTTTTCCAACTCCTCCCCAAGTGGATGATAAATCCATTGGGTTCCATCTGCTCCCATCTCGGAGAGCAGATCAGGGAGTAGAGCGATGACAAAGGCCAATGTGAGGGCATTTGTGGAGAGAGTTAAGCCCCAAAGGGGCTGTGGACGCAAATGATTACGTTCACCATAAGTGTTAGACTTTTACTTTCATTTATTATGAGTGTTTTAAGTTGGAATTGTAGGGGCTTAAATCGTAGGCCAGTGAAGGATGCGATACATTTTTGTTATCCAATCTCATAGATGTAATTTGGTTTTTCCGCAAGAGATGCACTCCGATGCAAATACTGCACATAGGATGGCATGTAGGCTAGGCCGTGGATGGTTCTGTGGAGGGTGCATCAAGAGGGATTGCTTTGCTTTGGAACTCCTACGTGATTTACGTCCTGGTGCTCTCTTCTCATACTTTTGCCTTCATGCCATTATGTAAGATGGGAGAAATAACAATTTTTACTAGGATTTATGCGAGTGTTTTCTTTCACGGTAGGAATTTATTAAGGAATGTGACAAATGTTGTGGTAGGGGTTTCTCTATGAATTCTTCAGTTCAAAACTTCAATATTAACGGATTTGAGATTTGTCGGTCTGAAATTTACTTGGTGTAACAGCTATCAAGGCAGTGCTCGTATTCTTGTACGACTTGATAGGGTTTAAGTTAATGATGTTTGGCTTAATATGTTTAGTGCATGGTAGTTTATCAGTGTCCCGTTTTATTTCAAGTTAATGGGCAAAGAAGCCTTTCTTCTCCTCTATTTAAATTTTGTCAATTTTCGGCTGAATATGAAGATGTGGCAATATTTTCAGTATATGTGAAATTCTCTACCTTTTAATGATGTCTATATGAATGGCATTTCCTACAAATTGCATAGGCTCGGGGAGTCTTGGTGGTCTTATAAAAATAAGTCTTAGAATCGACTAAGTAGGATATCTTCTATCTTAAGATGAGCTTCGGTTTTCTTGTCTTTACAATAGATATAATACAAGCTAATTTGAAGTAGTGGTCTTAAGCTAAAACCAAGTGGATTGGTGATGGGATCAAAACATAAAGTATTATCATGCTTTGGTCACTTGTTGTAGGGGTAAATACTTGTTGACCTTATCCTTATCAGGAATAAGCTTATTAAATTCTATTCCCAACTTTGAAAAGATGATGGGTATATTGTGCCTTGCCCGACTTAGGTGATCTTTCTTCTATAGGTTATCTCTTTAGGTAT